TTGATAACATGGTTCTCGCGAGGGACAAAAATGGGCGAGAAGGAGGGTGAGGTCTTCCACCAACTACAGAGTGGGGAGCAGAACAGGTAGGTCTATGAAGCACACTGCTGAGGGGAGCAGCAGGCGGGTCAGGAGAGGTCTGCCACGCCATGTGGCCACCTCCGGGGCAGGCGGGGATCGAACTCATGTGGAAGTGGCTTAAGCCTCTTTGTGCTGTGCTTTAACCTGCTGCGCCACCAGGGAGGACCATATTTTTAATCAGTGTTTTTGTAAAGTCTTTTAAGTAGATACCTAGGAGTGGGATTGCTGGGTCATAGGGAAGCTCCATTTTTAGTAGTTTGAGAAACCTCAAACAGTTTTTCCATAGTGGTTATACTAGTTTGCATTCCCACCAGCAATGCAGGAGAGTTCCTTTTTCTATACATCTTGCCAACATTTGTTGTTGCTAGTTGTTTTAAGATGTGCCATTCTCACTGGGGTGAGGTGGTATCGCATCGTGGTTTTAATTTGTATCTCGATGGCAATTTTTAAGTTGTCCTCTGGGAGTTTTGCCTGGTGAAGGAAAGAAATAAAATCAGCTGTCAGGATATTTAATTACTGTGTATCTTCCTGCTATTATAATGTTATTAGCCTGTAGGTTAAGCCAGGTATTATAATTTGCATCTGATTCCTGAATAACTAGTATTATTAGATAAGACTATTAGATAAGAGCTTTTTAACTGGTAATGGTTTTTTTTTTAGAGGCTAACTTGGTTTCTTATGCATTAAAGGTAATCATGCAAATGATCCAGTAAGCCATAGCATTCCAGTGTATTATTAACATATAAAATTAAGTGATACAATCATTATTACAAAAGAAAAATGTAGAACTTTGTGTTGATATCAGGTGAGACTTTGCAGTATCCAAATCTATGAATATTCAGTTAGTATGGACACCTTTTGGGGTCCTTTTCCTTTAGGGTTTTTTTGAAAAAGATTTATTTATGCATACAGAACTGGGGTACAGGCCAGAGGTACAGGGGGGTGAGAGGATTCACCAGAGACAGAGTGAGGAGTAGAACAGGCAGATTGACTGAAATACACTGCTGAGGTGAGCAGCAGGCAGGTCAGGAGAGGTCTGCTGTGCCATGTGGGTCACCTCCCTGGCAGGAATGGAACTTGTGCTGTGGTGGCTGCAGTAGCTTCATAGCACTGTGCTTCAGCCTTTTGCACCACCAGGGAGGGCCCACTATAAGTAGGTTTTATTAATAAAAGTGTTTGTGAGTGTGATTCACAGAATTGAATATTTTGGAGGTCCATCTGTGTGTTGGATACTTTGATCTCCATAGTTTAGCCTCCAGAACAATTCTTTGTGATAAATATTAAAGGAAACAAAACTAGTAGATAAGATAGTAGAGCCAAGATTTGAACCTTGGGAGTCTGGCTCTAGTTTCCTATACTGTCAGGTAAGTAAACTATTCATTGGACAATCCAGCTGTCAGAGTGGAAACCAGTATCCTGATGGAGTTGCTAGTTATCTAACATTACAGCTGACATAATTTTTTATCTATAGTTGCACTCAGTGCTTTATAGACTCTTGGGTGTCTGTTTAGATCCTATGGGATAGCAAGTGATAGTTTATTGGACTCACAAGGAAGTCTAGGGGCCACTGTGACAAGGAAAATCACAGAAAGTTGTGGAGACCACCAGGTTGTATTAAAACTAAATTTCCATAAAGTATATTGCTCTTCACTGAGAAGGCACTGAAGAGGCTGATTATCTGTGGAACGATGGACCTGAACTTAACCCTAGCTTAGCAGAATACAGGTGGGTCAAGGTCCAGCAAGGCCGGAGAGTCGGGGCCCCAGGTCCGGCGAACAAAGGAAGCAGTCACACGCGTGTAGCAGAACAAAGAAAGAGGCTCTTTATTGGGTTTTATCTCAGCTGTATACAGGAGGAGAGGGATGCCAGGAAGGGAGAAGGCCAATGGACACTAAACATGTAGCAGTGTTTGATAACATGGTTCTCGCGAGGGACAAAAATGGGCGAGAATGGAGCAGTGTTTTGATAATAGGTGGGTGAGAAACGAAAGAGGAGAAGGAAAAGGTGGGGACAAGGGGGTTCTTCCCACATGCCTTTTGCAACCCGGATGTTTTTCTCTATCCGGACTCCATTTCACCTTTTTATGGCTGCTGACAGACGCCAGATGCCGGCCTCGGTCCCCAACAGGTGGGCCTAGCTGTTTTATACATACGAGAGCAAACACTTCACATTCTGTCCTAAGAACCCTTCCTATATCCTCATTTAAAATTATGTAGTCTTCCACCAACTACCTTTCTTTGAGTCTTAGTTTTCATGTATGAGAAAAAAGAGCTTGCGATACTTAAATATCAGAAATGAGGATTGAATGACATATGTGTGCCTAGCAGATAGCAAACCTCAACATGGCCTGACTCAGATGGAACATGTAGAGAAAAAAAATAGTATCAGATAGGGTAGAAGAGGCTATGTCAAGATTTGAGTGTCATAAAACACTAGAAGTCTATTTTTTTCTCTGGGACCCAGACTGTTTCTATCTCCTGCTTTTTCCATCCTCAAAAGACTGTCTTCTGTGAACACCGATGCAAAAATCCTCAACAAAATCTTAGCTAACAGAATCCAACAATGCATTAAAAGAATAATACACCATGACCAAGTGGGCTTTATC